TGAGACCCGCTTTAGGCTCCCTGCTCAGCAGGGAGTCAGCTTGTCCCTCTCCCTCTGCCCCTCCCCCTGCTCTCTCCTGTGCACTCTCTCTCTCTCAAATAAATGAATAAAACTTAAAAAAAGAAAAAGAAATTTTCTTTTTAGGATTTTATTTATTTATTTAAAAGAGAGAGCACAAGTGGGGGAGGAGCAGGCAGAGGGAGAAGCAGGTTCCCTGCTGAGCAAGGAGGGCTCCATCCCAGGACCCTGGGATCATAACCTGAGCTGAAGGCAGCCACTTAACCGACTGAGCTACCCAGGCGCCCCTGAAAAAATATTTTTCATCATCTTGTCTCTTATTTTTCTATTTCGCTTATTTCTGCTTTATTTTTTATTTCCTTCTTTCTACTTGCATTGGGTTTTCTTTGCTCTTCTTTTTCTAGCTTCTTATTCTTAAGAAGAACAGGTTATTTATTTGAGATCTTTGTCTTTTTCTAATATAGGCATTTACCTAATAAATTAACCCCTCTCCTGCCTCCCCTACCCCAGGCACTGCTTTAACTGTATCATTTAACTTTTGACATATTGTATATTTTTAGTCATTCTGTCTAATTCTGTTGAGAGTTTTTGTTAATGAATATTGAATTTTATCCAGTATCTTTAGCACCAGTAGAGGTGACCACATGATTTTTATTGTTTTTATTCATTAATAATGACAGACAGTCTCAGTAGTTTTCTAATACTGGACACCCTTTTGTTCTGGACACAAATTCCACCTGATTGTGTTGTATTCTTTTGATATTCTGATGATGTTTATCTGGTACCTTTTTTAAAAGCTTTTAAAAATTTGAGATAACATTGACAGAACATCATATGTTTCAGGCACACAACATAATGATTTGATATTTGTGTACATGATGAAATGATCACATTAAGTATATAGTTAACATCTGTCATCACAGTTACAAACTTTTTTTCTCATAAGAACCTTTAAAATCTGTTAGCAACTTCTATTATTTATTTATTTATTTATTTTTTAAAGATTTTATTTACTTGACAGAGACAGAGAGATCACAAGTAGTCAGAGAGGCAGGCAGAGAGAGAGGAGGAAGCAGGCTCCCTGCTGAGCAGAGAGCCCGACACGGGGCTCGATCCCAGGACCCTGAGATCATGACCTGAGCCGAAGGCAGAGGCTTTAACCCACTGAGCCACCCAGGTGCCCCTATTTTTTATTTTTTAAAAGATTTTATTTATTTGACAGAGAGAGACACAGCAAGAGAGGAGCACAAGCAGGGCGAGTGGGTGAGGGAGAAGAAGGCTCCCCATTGAGCAGGAATCCCAATGCGAGGCTCGATCCCAGGACCCTGGGATCACGACCTGAACCAAAGGCAGACACTTCACCGACTGAGCCCCCCAGGCGCCCCTGTTGGCAACTTTTAAATATGCAATACAACATACACTGTAGTTACCGTGCTATGCATTACATCCCCACGACATAATGACTTTTAAGTTTGTAGCTTTTGACCCCTTTCAACCCATTTCACTCCTTCCTTCCCAGCAACCACCAATCTGCTCTCTGTATTTATGAGTTTGTATTGTGTATTGTATCTTTTTTTTGTTTGTTTGTTTGCTTTGGTCTGTTTTGTTTTTCAGGGGAGGTTTTTTGGTCTTTCTCTGACTTATTTCACTTAGCATAATGCCCTCATGGCCCATTCATATTACCGCAAACAGCAAGGTTTCATTCCTTTTTTATAGCTGAATGATATTCGTGTGTGTGTGTGTGTGTGTGTGAGTGTGTGTGTGTGAATGTATGTATATGTATATATACACCACATCCTCTTTATCCATTCATCCATTAATGAACACTTAGGTTGCTTCCATGTCTTGACTGTTGTAAATAATACTTCTGGAGCATTGGCGTGCAGATATCTTCTCAAGTTAGTGTTTTTGTTTGCTTCAGATAAATTCCCAGCAGTGGAATTATTGAATTATAAGGTAGTTCTATTTTTAATTATCTGAGGATCCTCCATACTGTATTCCACGGTGGCCTCACCAATTTACATTCCCACCAACACTGCCTGAGGGTTCCCTTTTTTCCACATTTTCACCAACACTTGTTATTTCTTATCCTTTTGATTCTAGTCATTCTGAAAGGTATGAGGTGATATCCCATTTTGGATTTGCATTTCCCTGATGAGTGGCTGAGCACCTTTTCATGCACCTGTTGGCCATCTGTATGTCTTTGGGAAGATGTCTCTTCAGATACTTTGCCCATTTTTTAATTGGATTGGTTTTTTGCTATTGAGTTGTATGAGTTTTTATTTATTTTGGATACTGTTTGTCAAATTTACAATTCACAGATATTTTCACCTATTCTGTAGATTGCCTTTTCATGTTGTTGATGGTTTTTTCTGCTGTGCAGAAGGTTTTTAGTTTGGTGTAGCCCCACTTGTTAATTTTTCTTTTCTTTTTTTTTTTTTTGATGCCTTTGCTTTTGGTGTCAAAAAAAATCATCACCAACACCAGTGTCTAGGAGCTTACCACTTACATATTTTCCTAGATTTTATGGTTTCAGGTCTTAACATTTAAGTCTTTAATCTATTTATTTAAAAGGTTTTATTTATTTGACAGACAAAGATCACAAGTAGGCAGAGAGGCAGGCAGAGGGGGGTGTGGGGAAGCAGGCTCCCCCCTGAGCAGAGAACCCCCCCCCTCCAGTGTGGGGCCCGATCCCAGGACCCTGAGAGCATGACCTGAGCTGAAGCAGAGGCTTAACCCCACTGAGCCACCCAGGTGCCCCTAATCTATTTTTTAAATTTTATTTTTTCTTATTTTTTTTAGAGAGGGAGAGGAGCCCACATGGCACTTGATCTCATGACCCTGAGATCATGACCTGAGCCAAAGTCAAAGTTGGATGCTTAACTGACTGATCCACCCACGGGCTCCAACTCTTTAGTAATATAGTTTTGTGTATAGTGTAAGATACTGTCTAGTTTCATTCTTCTGTATGTGACGGTCCAGTTTTCCCAACACCATTTATTGAAGAAAATATCCTTTCTTCATTGTATATTCTTGCCTCCTTTGTTGTAAATTAATTGACCACATATGCATGCATTTATTTCTGGGCTCTCTATTCTGTTTTATTGATCTGTGTATCTTTTTTTGTTAATATGATACTATTTTGATTACCATAGCTTGTAATGTAGTTTGAAATTAGGGAGCTTGATGCCTCCAGCTTTGTTCTTCGTTCTCAACATTGCTTTGGGTATTTGGGATCTTTTGTGCTTCTATACAAATTTTAGGATTGTTCTACTTCTGTGAAAAATTGGAATTTTCATAGGAATTGCATTGAATTTTAGATTGTTTTAGATAATATGGCAGGGTTCTGGGATTAAGCCCTGCCTTGGGCTCCCTGCTCAGCACAGAGTTTGCTTCTCCCTCTCCCACCCCCTGCCCCCAACTCGTGGGGTCTCTCTCTTCCAGATAAATAAAATCTTTTTTTTTTTTTAATATTTTATTTATTTGACAGAGATCACAAGAAGGCAGAGAGGCAGGCAGAGAGAGAGGAGGAAGCAGGCTCCCCACTGAACAGAGAGCCCGATGCGGGGCTCGATCCTAGGACCCTGGGATCATGACCTGAGCCGAAGGCAGAGGCTTTAACCCACTGAGCCACCCAGGCGCCCAGATAAATAAAATCTTTAAAAATAAATAAATAAATAAAGGGGCACCTGGGTGGCTCAGTGGGTTAAAGCCTCTGCCTTCGGCTCAGGTCGTGATCCCAGGTTCCTGGGATCGAGCCCTGCGTCGGGCTTTCTGCTTGGCGGGGAGCCTGCTTCCTCCTCTCTCTCTGCTTGCCTCTCTGCCTACTTACGATCTCTGTCTGTCAAATAAATAAATAAAAATCTTTAAAAAGGGTGGGGGGTGCGCCTGGGTGGCTCAGTTTGTTGAGCCACTGCCTTCGGCTCAGTTTGGGGTCCCTGGGTCCTGGGATCCCATTGTCAGGCTCCCGGCTCTGCAGGCGGTCTGCTTCTCCCTCTGACCTCCCCTCGAATGTTCTCTCTTACTCTCTCTCTCTCTCAAATAAATAAAATCTTTAAAAAATAAATAAAGTCATGCAAACAAGTGATATTTTTTGACATTTTCTTTTATTATCCTTTGGAAGTTTTTATCTGCTTATGCTGTCTTTATAAAAATAATTGGGAAGTGAGGCACCTGGGTGGCTCAGTCATTGAGCGTCTGCTTTCTGCTGAGGTCATGATCCCAGGGTCCAGAGATCCAGCAGGGCATCCACCTCCCTGCTTGGCGGGAGGCCTGCTTCTCCCTCTCCCACTCCCCCTGCTTGTGTTCCCTCTCTCGCTGTTTCTCTATCAAATAAATAAATAAAATCTTAAAAAAAAAATAGTTGGGAAGCTCTCTCTCTTTTTTATTTTTTTCATTGAATTAAAACATTTTAATAGCGTTGGTGCTGTGATTGATACAGAATTCACTGGTGAAAACTTCTGGGCCTCGTGGTTGTTTGTTTGCATTTTCTCTGTCTCTCTGTCACAATTACCTTTTTTTTTTTTTTTTTTAAGATTTTATTTATCTATTTGAGATAGAGCATGAAAGGGGAGAAGGTCAGAGGGAGAAGCAGACTCCCCGTGGAGCTGGGAGCCCAATGCAGGACTCCATCCCAGGATTCTGGGATCATGACCTGAGCTGAAGGCAGTTGCTTAACCAACTGAGGCACCCAGGAGTCCACAATTACATTCTTCCTATGTACTTAAATTGAAATTGTATCTCAGTGTAAACATGGTGGGGGCAAATGATTTCACCTTCCTTGTCAGAATATGTTATAAAACTGGAGGCTTTACCTTTGTAGGAAATACTCAGAATGTTTATTAAATAACAAAAAAATTTATGCTGCTGAATCTTTTTGAGCATTTAATGATAATCTACCTTTTTACAAATGTATTTGACATTATAGATGTTCATTTTTATCTGATGAACCTGTAATTAATGTCTGTTTTTTTATTGTATAGAAATTTACGGCAACAATGTCCACACCAGACAAGAAAGCCTCACAGAAGATTGGTTTCCGATTACGTAACCTCCTCAAGCTTCCCAAAGCACATAAATGGTGCATATATGAATGGTTCTACTCAAATATAGATAAGTACGTATCATGGCTTATGTCGTGGATGTCACCTGAACCAGAAATTCTCAAACATTATAAGCTGTTTTCTGTAGGTCTGTTTTGATTCTTTTTTTCCCTGATTTCTTCTTTCTGTTCTTCATTTTATGTTGATCCGTATCCATTCCTCACAGTTTGCTTTTCTCCTTCTCCCTTCACAGAAGTGGTTATACATTTTTGTGAAAACTCAAATGAAAATATAATCCATATTATAATTTACAAAGGCTGTGGATTGGAGAGGCCGTAGAACAGAGTTCCCGTATTTGTAATGAACAAGAAATGTTTTTTCCTTTTTTTTTTTTTTAAAGATATTTATTTATTTATTTTAGAGCATAAGCGGGGAGAGAGGAAGGGGGAGAGGCAGACTCCCTGCTGAACAGGGAGCCCTATGCGGAGCTTGATTCCAGGACCCCGGACCATAACCTGAGCTGAAATGAAGAGTTGGATGCTTAACTGACTGAGCCACCCAGGCACCCCTAAACAAGATGTATTTTATACATCTTGAGATTTTATTTTATTTTATTTATTTATTTTTAAACATTTTTTATTTTTTTATTTGAGAGAGAGAGAGACAGTGAGAGAGAGCATGAGCAAGGAGAAGGTCAGAGGGAGAAGCAGACTCCCCATGGAGCTGGGAGCCTGATGCGGGGCTCGATCCCGGGACTCCAGGATCATGACCTGAGCTGAAGGCAGTGGCTTAACCAACTGAGCCACCCAGGCACCCCTTATTTTATTTTTTTAAAAGATTTTATTTATTTATTTGACAGAGATCACAAGTTGGCAGAGAGGCAGGCAGAGAGAGAGGAGGAAGCAGGCCCCCTGCTGAGCAGAGAGCCTGAAGTGGGGCTTGATCCCAAGAACCTGGGATCATGACCTGAGCTGAAGGCAGTTGCTTGACCCACTGAGCCACCCAGGCGCCCCTATACATCTTGAGATTTTAAATGCTAGTGTCTTGGTAGAGAAGCAGTTACTAATGGTACAAATGATTCAGTAAAATTTTTAGAAGAGTCTTTCTTTTCTTTCTTTCTTTCTTTCTTTTTTCCTTTCTTTCTTTCTTTCTTTTTTTTTTTTTAAAGGATTTTAGTCATTTATTTGAGAGAAAGAGAGAGAGAACACCAAGACAGGGGAGGGGCAGAGGGAGAGGGAGAAGCAGACTCCCCTCTGAGCAGGGAGCCCAATGCCAGGACCCTGGGATCACGACCTAATCCTGGAGAGGCCTCCAGTTTTCTAAAATTGATTTAATCTCAAGGAGGACTCCATGGTGTTGGTATTGCCTTTGGGGAAAAGATAAATTGTAGCTAGCATTGTTTGTCCTCACTGGATATAAGGACAGTGCTAGGATATACTAGGATGTACTCATACATGAGATTTAGCAAAAATCAGTGTCTCCTGGAATCTCCAGCACAGTCAGTATTTCTTGAGTAACTTGTATACATTGGTTGTTTCACAGATAACACTTTTAGTTTTAGCACTTTGAATTTGTGCCTGTTTTCTTTTTTTTAATTTTATTTTTTTAATGTATTTATTTGACAGAGAGAGAAAGAGATCACAACTAGGCAGAGCAGCAGGCAGAGAGAGGGGGGGAAGCACACTCCCTGCTGAGCAGAGAGCCTGATGTGAGGCTTGATCCCAGGACCCTGAGATCATGACCTGAGCCAGAGGCAGAGGCTTAACCCACTGAGCCACCCAGGTGCCCTTTGTGCCTGTTTTGTATATGTTCTGGGCAGAAGTGAAAGATGGCACTTGGTGATTAGTATAATGCTGAAAATTAGAAAGCATATTTTGAAATTTATGCCCCTGAAGTAACTTATTTTGTCTTAACCATTAAAATACCATTCTGTTTTATAGGCCACTGTTTGAAGGCGATAATGACTTCTGTGTGTGTCTGAAGGAATCCTTTCCGAATTTAAAAACAAGAAAGTTAACAAGAGTAGAATGGGGAAAAATCAGGCGACTTATGGGAAAACCACGGAGGTAAAAATAATATTTTTATTAAAAATGAAATCAGTAATTTAGTTTGTAGTGTAATTACCACATTGATTCTTTTTCATCATCACAAAGACTAGTACTGAAACATTCCTTTTCAGAATAATTATATCTTAAATATATCCTGTTAACCAGCTTACAGGTAGGTGCTTTTTATACCTATGCGTCTTAAAATTAAATATACAATTCCATTTTTGTTCAAATTACAGGCTTTGTATATAATTTTCTTACATTGTCTATGCCCACTATGTTCCAAAAAATATTTTATTTATTTATTTTTTTAAAAGATTTTATTTATTTATTTGACAGAGATCACAAGTTGGCAGAGAGGCAGGCAGAGAGAGAGGGGGAAGCAGGCTCCCTGCTCAGCAGAGAGCCCAATGCGGGGCTCGGTCCCAGGACCCTGAGATCATGACCTGAGCTGAAGGCAGAGGCTTAACCCACTGAGCCACCCAGGCGCCCCCAAAAAATATTTTAAGAGGGCACTAGAAAATATAGCTGATCCTTTAACAACATGGGGGGTTAGGGATGCCAACTTTGCAGTCAGAAATCTACATACAACTTTTAACTCTCTAAAAACCTAACTACTCGTAATTTATTATTGACTGGAAGCCTTACTGATAACATAAACAGTCAATTACACATATTTTGTATGTCATGTGTATTATATACTGTGTTTTTACAATAAAGTAAGCTAGAGAATAGAAAATGGTATTGAGAAGATTGTAAGGAATGGAAGATATGTTTACAGTACCACACTGCATTTGTCAAAAAAAACCCCCATGTATAAGTGGATGTGGGCGGTCACATCCATGTTTTTCAGGAGGTAACAATATTTAATGAGACTCTCAGGGTATCCCTACATTGTTATTATCCTTTTAAAAACTGTTTATCACTGCAAAAGCCTTCTTACAAGTGTGTGTCTTACTTTATATAAAAACAGGATAAGGGGTTAGGAGAAATAAGTGAAGGGGATCAAAAGGTACAAACTTGCAGTTATAAAAATAAGTCCTGAAGTATAGTGGATAGTGTGATGACTACAGTTAATAATACTGTAACAGGTATTTGAAAATTGCTGACAGTGGGTCTTAAAAGTTCTCATCCCAAGGAAAAACATGTTCTAACTACATATGGTGTCAGATGTTAACAAGACTTAGTGCGGTGGTCATTTCACAATATATACAAATATTGAATCACACTGTTGTACACCTGAAGGTTACATAGAGTGTTATATGTCTACTATACCTCTAAAATAAAAACACAGGTTATCTCAAAAAAACAAAACCCCAGAAAGAAAAATCAAGTCAACCTATCCAATATGTTATTTTCTGATAATTACTTTTCATGTGAAATGACTTTTCCTTTTACAGTGATATCTTGCTTTCTAACACATTGGAGAACTTGATATGACTTTTGAGTGAAGTTTTGGAATCTATTAGATTATTAGTTCTCATATAATGTCTCTCTGCCTAGTAAAAGCATGTACAAGACTTTCTCACTTTATTTTTAAATTTTTAAAAAAAGATTTATTTATTTATTTGACAGAGAAAGACTGTGAGAGAGGGAACACAAACAGAGGGAGTGGGGAGGGAGAAGCGGGCCTCCCGCCAAGCAGGGAGCCCAATGTGGGGCTTCATCCCAGGACCCTGAGATCATGACCTGAGGCAAAGGCAGATGCTTAATGACTGAGCTACCCAGGTACCCAAGACTTTTTCACTTTAGATGGTGCAAAAATCCAGGGAAGGCATGGAAATATAAAGTGACTTGGGCAAGTAGAAACAGAATTTAATTTTAATGATTTCTGTAGATAGTGATGAAATGCAAGGAGAACTTTTAATTGAACTGGTAATATTTTATTTCTGTATTAACACATGACATTGCTGATGCTGTTTTTAATAGTTCCTTCATTTATAAGAACGTGGGCATGTTGCGCGCGCACACACACACACACACACCCAGGATATTACCATAAAAAAGAATGAAATCTTGCCATTTGCCACAATGTGGATGGATCTTGAGCGTATTATGCTGAGTGAAATAAGTCAGACAAAGAAAGACAAAATCCTATGATTCACTCATATATAGAAACTAAAAAAAGAAGAAAAGGGGCACCTGGGTGGCTCAGTCAGTTGAGCGTCTACCTTTGACTCAGGTCATGATCCCAGGGTCCTGGGATCGAGGCCTGCATTAGGCTCTCTGCTCAGCGGGGAGCCTGCTTCTTGTTCTCCCTCTGCTGCTCCCCCTGCTTGTGCTATCTCACTTGGTCTGTCAAATAGGTAGATAAAATCTTTAAAAAAGAAAAAAAGAAAGAAAATGGAAAAAAAGGACAAAAAATTAAAAAAAAAAAAAACCTCTTAAATACAGAGCACAAACTGGTGATTACCTGAGGGGAGGTGGGTGAAATAAGTACAGGGAATTAAGAGGTATAAAATTCTGGTTATAAAAAGAATAATTTGGGTGCCTGGGTGGCTCAGTGGGTTAAGCCTCTGCCTTCAGCTTGGGTCATGGTCTCAGGGTCTTGGGATCAAGGCCCACATTGGGCTCTCTGCTCAGTGGGGAGCCTGCTTCCTCCTCTCTGTCTCTGTCTGCCTCTCTGCCTACTTGTGATCTTTCTCTCTGTCAAATAAATAAATAATGGTAAAAAAAAAAAAAAAAAGAAGAATTCATGGAAATGAAAAAAAAAAGCACAGCATAGGGAATAGTCAATAATATTGTAATAACATCTGGTGGCAGGTGTTGACTGCACTTATTGTGGTCAGTATTGAATGGTGTAGAAAAATTGTCAGCTCCTTACGTTGTACACCTGAAACTAATATAATGCTGGGTGTCATTTTCATGTCAATGAAAAAAATGCAGAAAAGTATAAACCCACTTAACAAATTGCTAAATGATTTGAATGGATGCTTCACCAAAGATATGAGGATGTCAAATAAATACTAGAGAAGGTAGTCAACATTTGGTCAATAGAAAAACGCAAATGAACCCATAATGTCTAAAATTTACAAGATTAAGGGCCCCTGGGTGGCTCAGTCAATTTTTTTTTTTTAGAGAATTTTAGGTTCACAACAAAATTGAGAGAAAGTTAGAGAGATTTCCTATATACTCTCTGCCCTCAGAGATGCACAGCCTTCCCCTTATCGGTATGTTCCACCACAGTGATACATTGTGAAAGTTGATGAGTCTATATCAGTTTATCATAATCCCCCAAATCCATGGTTTACATTAGGGTTTACTCTTGGTTTTGTATCTGTGGGTTTTGAAAAATGTATAATGACATATATCTATCATTATAATGTCATATACAGTTTTTTTACTGCTCTGATAATCTTTTGGGCTCCACTTATTCCTTCCTCTCCCGAGGGCCCCAACTCCTGGCAACTGCTGATCATTTCTCCAGAGTTTTGCATTTTCCAGAATGTCATATGTTGGAATCATACCATATGTGGCCTTTTCAGACTGGCCTCTTTCACTTAGTAATATGCATTTCAGGTTCCTCTGTATCTTTTCATGGCTTGAAAGTTCATCCTTTTTAGCGCTGAATAATATTCCATTGTCTGAATATACTCCTGTATTTTTTTTAATCCACTCACTTACTAAGAGACATCTTGGTTGCTTCGAAGTTTTGCCAGTTATGAGTAAACTGGTGTAAACATCCATGTTAAGGTTTTGGTGTGGACGTAAGTTTTTAGCTCATCTGGGTAGATACCAAAGAGTATGGTTGCTGGATTGTGTGATAAGACTATGTATAGTTTTATAAGAAACCACCAAACTATTTTCCAAGGTGTCCATGCCATTTTGCATTCCCACGAGAATGAACAAGAGTTTCTGTTGTTCCACATCCTTGCCAACATTTGGTGTTGTCTGTGTTCTAGATTTTGGTCATTCTAATAGATTTGTAGTAATGTCTCACTTTATTTATATTTCCCTAATGACATAGTGTGGTGAGCATCAAAGTGGCTTGTCATCTGTATATCGTCTTTGGTAATATTTGGCTTCTTTGGTTTCTTAAAAGGTTAAACATGCACTGACCATATGACCTAGTTATTCTGTTTCTAGGTATTTAGTTAAGAGAAATTAAAGCATATGTTTATACAAAAACCTCTACAGAAATGTTCATATCAACTTTGTTGTAATGACCCCAAACTGGAAGCAACACAAATGTCTACCAGTAGGAGAATGGGTAAACAAATTATGACACATTCAAAGAAAAGGTTACTATTCTCCAATAAAAAGAATGAACCATTGATGCATGTGACAAAATGGATTAATTTTAGAATAATTATGCTGAGTGAAAGAAGCCTGACAGAAGAGTTCATACTAGATGATATTGTTTATATAAAATTTTAGAAGATAGAAGCTATAATGACAGAAAGCAACTTAGTGATTGCTTGAGCAGTGGAGATATAGAAGTGGGAGGATTGTGAAGGAAGGATAATAAAGTGCCACAAGGAAACTTTGGGGAGTGATTGATGTTTTCAGGTGTTCATTATCTTGTCTGTGATAATGGTTTTACAGATATATATTCTGTGGCATGAAGCTATGTTTAAGTTACATTGGTTCATCCCAGTATTTGAAAATAGAAGTAAGATAGGCCCTAAAGATAAGAGTAAATTCAGTATTTATGCTTTAAGGCAGGAGGTATGGTTAAACATTTACACAGAAGTAAGCCTCATCTTTAGTTCTTTATTGGTGTGCTCACTGGGTCACAGGGAAAATATCATGTTCTTCTGAACAGAATATTATAATTGAACTTCATCCCAGGAGGAGACCTGGGATCCAGATGCAGTGTTGTCAAAGAATGGTGAACAAAGAATGGTGAACAAAGGATGTAGACTGCTTATAACTCTTTAAGTCTTGCAAAGTCCCATTTTTAAAAAGATATAATTTACTTTGAAGGGAAACAATTATTATTTCTAAGAACTCATTCTTAACTGTATTACTCGAAAGAGAGGAAAAGAGGGAATGGTGAGATGGGTAGTCTGATTTCAAGTTTTGTATTTTGGTTTGTTTGTTTTTTAAAGATTTATTCACTTTTGAGAGAGAGAGAGTACGAGTGAGTGTGCCATGGGGCAGAGGGAGAGAGAAATTTTAGTAGACCCTTTGCCGAGCTCAGAGTCTGACCTGGGCCTTGATCTCACGACTCTGAGATCATGCATGACCTGAGCCAAAACTAAGAGTCAGATGCTCAACTGACTTGTCACCTGGGGGCCCCCTGATTTCAAGTTTTTGTATAGGATAGTTATCAGTTTATATGATTTTTATAATTTATTCTAGATGTTCTTCTGCATTTTTTGAGGAAGAGAGATCAGCCTTAAAACAGAAACGACAGAAAATAAGGCTCTTACAACAAAGGAAAGTTGCAGATGTTTCCCAATTCAAAGATCTCCCAGATGAAATTCCTTTACCCCTGGTTATTGGAACCAAAGTTACAGGTAAGTGAACATAACCTCATTACCATTTTGCTCTATAATTTTTCACCAAGATAACTACTAGATAACCACTAGACAAATAGCTTTTAAATTTTAAAAACTTAAACTAGGGATCCCTGGGTGGCTCAGTGGTTTAAGCCTCTGTCATGGTCTCGGGGTCCTGGGATAGAGCCCCACATTGGGCTCTCTGCTTGGCAGGGAGCCTGCTTCCCACCCCCACCCCCACCACCTGTCTCTCTGCCTACTTGTGATCTCTGTCTGTCAAATAAATAAATGAAATCTTAAAAAAAAAATAAAAGCTTAAACTGTAGTTCTATAGCAGTGTACTGTAGAAGTTATTATTTCTTTATCTGTGGCATCTGGTTTTTAAGCTGCTTGGGAGAAAGTGTACTGGTTCAAAGCAATGTCTACTATAACGTAAACTAAAGCAAACTGCCACAAAGATGAAATTTAAAATTCACTGGAATAAGCATGGCTAGACATTGTTTGAATTTCTAAAATTTTAAATTGTCCTGTCTTTTGCTTTCACATCATTTCTTTTCTTTTCTAACCAATCTTAAACAGTTACCTCACAAATACCATTGTTTTTGTGCTCTTTGGGTTTAGGGATAGTCCATTTCTAATGACTGAATAGTAATAATTCAGTAGGTAGTCTGCTCAGCATTTTAATTTAAGGGTGTAAATTCTGTCAACTCGTAGATGTGAGTCTTTCTGTTCTGTTCAGTTATGATGTGGAAGGAAAGTACCACCAAAACTTCAAGTGTAAATTAAGCCTTAATAATTTAGTAAACTAAAATTACAATTTATGTAACACAGGAAATAACAAGGTGTTAAGTGAATAGGTAGATTGGTAACTGCACTGAAAGGGATTAAACAATGGTTGGATTTATCAAAGAATATTTTCTGGAGGAAAGGTAACCTTGAGTTACATATTAATATCACTTTGCCTGGTTATAAAAGTGGTACATGTTTCTATTATATTATAAAAATGGGTAATTAAGAGAAAAGGCAGACAAAAGAGAGGAGACTGTATCTTGCACATGAAATCCAGGTAGAAAAGAGAAGAATAGATTTGGTCATAACTTACCATGACAGGCTTAACCATGTGCAGAAGTTACAGATGATCTCTCTGTCAATAAAATTAATCTGGGGATGAGATTAGAAATTAAGTGAGGGGGAGATTGTAGACTTGAAAAGATACATTAGTTCTAAAACACCATATAGGGGCACCTGGGTGGCTCAGTGGGTTAAGCCTCTGCCTTCGGCTCAGGTCATGATCTCAGGGTCCTGAGATCGAGCCCCGCATCAGGCTCTCTGCTCAGTGGGGAGCCTGCTCCCCCCTCCCCTGCCTGCCTCTCTGCCTACTTGTGATCTCTGTCTGTTGAATAAATAAATAAAATCTTTTTAAAAAATAATAAAAAAACCCACACCATACAAACAAGTACAGATATAAAGTCTATAGTACAACTACAAATCAGAGAAGTGTCGGAATGCATAGAATGACATAAAAGTTAATTGTTTCAGAATTTTAAGGACTGGCAGTTTTATGGAAGGTCTATAAGTAGGTATTCTCATTGTAATGGAGAATAGGTTGGACAGGATGTATCAAGATATGAGAAAAGGGTGTGCCTGGGTTGCTCAGTTAAGCCTCTGCCTTTGGCTCAGGTCATGATCCTGGAGTCCCAGGTTAAAGCCCCATGTCTGGCTCCCCCCTTGGTGGAGAGTCTGCTTCTCCCTCTGCCCCTTACCCTGCTTGTTACACTCTCTTTCTCACTTGCTCTCTCAAATAAATAAAATCTTAAAAAATATATATGAGAAGAGTTTGGGGCACCTGGGTGGCTCAGTCGGTTAAGCATCTGCCTTTGGCTCAGGTCATGCTCTCAGGGTCCTTGGATCAAGCCCACATCAGGCTCACTGCTCAGAGGGGAGTCTGCTTTTCCCTCTCCCTCTCCCTCTGCTCTTCTCCGTGCTCATGCACACACACTGTCTCTCAAATAAATAAAATCTTTTTTTTCTTTCTTTCTTTCTTTCTTTTTTTTTTTTTAAGAAAAAAACCAACTGAATGGCTCAGTTGGTTAAGCGACTGCCTTCGGCTTGGATCGTGGTCCTGGAGTCCTGGGATCAAGTCCCACATCGGGCTCCCTGCTCAGCAGAGAGTCTGCTTCTCCCCCTGAGCCTCCACTTCTCCTGCTTTCTCTCTCTCTCTCAAATAATTAAAATCTTTAAAAAAACAAAAACAAAAACAAAAACTAATTTTTAAAAAAAAAGAATTATTTTTGCATTTTTATTTTAAAAATTTTATTTATTTATTTATTTATTTATTTAGAGAGCACAAGCAGGGAGGAGGGAGAGTAGGTTCCCTGCGATCAGGGAGCCCAACTCAGGGCTCAATCCCAGGACCCTGAGATCATGACATGAGCCAAAGGCAAATGCTTAACAGACTGAGCCACCCATGGCTGAAGAAAAAAAATCCCAGTAATAATATTTTGTGACACATGAAAATTATATGAAATTCAAAGACCTCATTATGGAGGAAAGCTGGTCTAAATTTATAACAATAAGAGGAAGCATGGCAGGGCCAAAAAAAATCTGCCAGTAATTTTTTGTCTACCAGAAGAAGTTCAGCATACTGTGTAAGCATGCAATACAAAATTATTAAACCTATGTAGGAACATGAACACAGGTTCTGTAGTCAAAAAGCCATCTGTAGAATTCGATGCTGAGTTGGCTGAGATATTGGAATTAGCAGTAGCTTCAGAATGTTTGTTATGGGGGCGCCTGGGTGGCTCAGTGGGTTAAAGCCTCTGCCTTCAGCTCAGGTCATGATTCCAGGGTCCTGGGATCGAGCCCCACTTTGGGCTCTCTGCTCTGGGGAGAGCCTGCTTCCTCCTCTCTCTCCTCCTGCCTCCCTGCCTACTTGTGATCTCTCTGTCAAATAAATAAAATCTTTTTTAAAAATGCTTGTTATGAACTTAATATAAATGTGGTCATAGTGAGTGGAGAAATCTCAGAGATAAAGAGGAATTATTTAGGTATAACAAATTTAGAAGTGAAAAGTATAGTACCTGAAAAAAATTCTTAATGGGCTTCAAAACAGATCAGAAATAGTAAAAGCAAGAGTGAGTGAACCTGAGAATACATCCCTAGAAATTATCCCACTGTGAGAACAGCAGACAAAACTGGGAAAAACTGTGTTAGAGCCTCAGAGGCCTCTGGGACAATGTTAAGCAATTTCACAGATGTATAGAGTTCCTAAAAGGAGAGGAGAGACACATGGCACAGGGAAACAAACAGAAAAAGACAAAGGATAAAATATTCCCACATTTAATTTTTTAAAAGGTACAGATCCAAGATACTCTGAACCCAACCCAGATAACCCACATGTTTGCAAAGCCCCAAGATACCATACAGAAAAACTACAAAGAAAATCTTGAAAGCAGTCATAGAAAAGCAACATATTACATAAGAGGAAAACTTATGAATGGTAGCTGACTTTACATAAAAAAATATGCCAAAAGTAATGCCAAAAGATATTTTTCAGATTGAAGGGAAATGATACCAGATGGAACCTCAAATCTACAGAGAGGAGAAGAAATTTTCTACGGAAAATGGCACATATGTAAAATGGAACAGTTGTGTTGCAAGGTTCTTGAATTTGTTATGAGAGCATACAATATTGACTGTGAATAGACCGTAGTAGGTAAAGATTGGTATTCTGATCTGTAGAGTATTGAGGTTCAAAACCTTCAGGGTGGGGGCACCTGGGTGGCTCAGTGGGTTAAAGCCTCTGCATTTGGCTCAGGTCATGATCTCGGGGTCCTGGGATCGGGGTCCTGGGATCGAGCCCCGCATCGGGCTCTCTGCTCAGCAGGGAACCTGCTTCCTCCTCTCTCTGCCTGCTTCTCTGTGATCTCCGTCTGTCAAATAAATAATAAAATCTTTAAAAAAACAAACAAAAAAAACCCTTCAGGGTGCATCAGAATTACCTGGAGGGGTGGATGAAACACAGATTGCCAGACCCCTTCCACCGAGTTTCTAATTCAGAAGGTCAGGGGTAGGGCCTGAGAATTTGCATTTTAACAAGATTCCAAGTGATATTGATGCTGCTGGAGTGGGGCTATACTTTGAGAACTAGTAGAAGGAGGGTTTTGTTTTGTTTTTTTTTTCTTTAGAGAGAGAGAGTGAGCAGGGGGAGGGGCAGAGGGAGAAGGGCGGAGAGAATCCCAAGCAGGCTTCACACCCAGCACAGAGTCAGACGTGGGGTTTGAGATCATGACCTGAGCCAAACTCAAGGGTCGGTTGCTTAACCAACTGAGCCACCCAGGCAGGACCTACTTTAAAAAAAAAATGCTAAGACGCATACTTAGAAAGCCAACAGAGAAGTTAATTTTGAAATTCTAATAAATAAATGAAAAGACAATAGGAAAGAAAGTACAGGGGAACAAACACCATGGCATAAATAGAAAATAAACAGCAAGAAGGTAGACTCAAGTGTGGTCCTATTTTCATTATATTAAATGTTAGTGAACTAAGCACTGTACTAGAAAAGTAGAGATTATCAGACTAGATTTAAAAAAAAAAAAGAAATTCCTGGGATGCCCAGGTGACAAAGTTGGTTAAGTGTCTGCCTTCTGCTCAGATCGTGATCCCAGGGTCCTAGGATCAAGCCTTGCATCAGGCTCTCTGCTAAGTGGGGAGCCTGCTTCTCGCTTTCCCTCTGCCTGGTGCTCCCCTTGCATATGCTCTCTCTCTTGCTCGCTCACTCTCTCTCTCAAATACATAAATAAAATCTTTTTTTAAAATGCCTAACAATATGCTATCTTTAAGAATTATTCTTAAAGGGGCGCCTGCGTGGCTCAGTGGGTTAAAGCCTCTGCCTTCGGCTCAGGTCATGATTTCAGGGTCCTGGGATCGAACCCCGCATCACACTCGGCTCAGCAGGGAGCCTGCTTCCCTTCCTCTCTCTCTGCCTGCCTTTTTGCCTACTTGTGATCTCTGTCAAA